CAATGAGAGCCATACTTCTTTAAAAAAATCCTTGTTGATATATTCTTGTATGTCAAAATCCATGTCTTGCAACTCCCTAAGAAAGATGAATTTTGAGAAAGAATAGGCGTGCATGGTGGTGGTGTGTACACGTTCGACGAAGCTTTCGAGTGTTTCACGATAGAGATCGTTCCAACCAATGTCATCAACAGAGGATTTAACAGCCAAAATACGGTCGTCGAGTGCGAGGGAACTAGAAGTACTCATAGCCGATGAATAGAAGGAGCTTGGAGTGGAGTCTTCATCCATGGTGAGATGCCTATTGAATATATATATGGTTAGTTAAAGATTGTCTCTAATAGCTTAAAAAAGAATTTTACTCACTTCTAGTTAAATGAATATATATGTTTATAAAAAGGTTGATATAAAGAACTAGAAAAGCGATAAACGTGAACCTACAAGATATATTGTTAGATAACGATGTATCTAATTGTTTAGACAAGATTTTACTTACTGGAAGTGCTTGATGTGCAGATTTAAGAATATAGAGATTGATTTTAGAAATAAATAGCCAAAGAGGTGTGTCTAGTAGATATATTATTAGGTACAGACTGCATCCAACAGTTTAATTACGCTTTTACTTACTTGAGTAAAAAAGTGATTATAAGCTTTTTTAATAAAGAAAAAAGAATGAAATGATAGTGAAATGAGTGGTTTCTTAGCTAAAATAGTGCCCTTTTTATAATGAAATTCATAATGTTGTCAGTAACACAAAAAATCAAGTAGTATCCATGGATGTATTCGGAAGAATGAACATGTATTTATTCTCATAAGCTAATTGATGCGAAGCCTTTAGACATGGTTAAAGCTAAACTGTACAAAGAATGTGAAGTATACCTCTTGAAATCTCAGTCTATTATTGTAAAATGAGACTGAGAGCAGTAGCTTGAATATATTACGGTCAAGCACATCACATAATTTAACCATAGTTCATCATTCCATGAATCATTTTTAAAACGAGAATCTAAGAAGAAACACTTCTCTCATATGACAAAAAGTTAAACTATATGTGGTATTGCGTGCAACATCATATCCTAATTCAAGAGGTGCAATGTATGATTTTAAAGTGTGTAAAAAAAAAAAATTCTTGATATCTCTTTGTCGTTCAAGATGTGCTTGAATTATCAAATAGAGAGAGAAATGGCTCATTGTTAAGGCATTTACCAGTGTGATTACTATCATCTGATGGATAATTTTTATGACTTTTAGTTTCTTTAGCTAAAAGATTGTTATTTCTTTTGATTGCAAAAAAAAAAAGGAGAAAATAAGAATACGTCTACTTGTAGTACATAACATTATAGTAACCACAGCATATCGCCTGGATAATCAAATATTTTCTCATTAAT